TGGCCATCCAGTGTGTGTGTGGGGGGGTGGGTGCGCCCTGGGCCTGGAGCCCCGAGTCCCCTGCGTTCGGCCTCTTCCTGAGGATGTCATGTGGTCAGGGTGAGCTGGTCCCGCGTCTGTCTCGAGGAAACTTCCACGCCAAGTGGGGTCAGACAGACAGTTGGTATTTCAACGAGCTACCAGGACCACTTGAGAGGCTGTTGGGGGAGCTTGCAGGTGGGACAGGGCTTGGCTGAGTCTCGTTTTCATTGTGTTTTGATGAACAGAACTTCTTCAATGTAATGGAGTAAATACGTCGATCATTTTGCGGTTGGTATTTTTGGTGTCTTTAGAAAATTCCTCTCTACCTAGAGATTATAAAGACATCCTCCTATTTTTGTCTTGTAGAACCTTTTATAGCTGCCTCTTACAGTCCAGTCTTTCATTTCCTTGGCAATAATTGCATGTGTGGTGCGAGGGAGAGGTTTGTTCTTTCTGCTTTTTTCACATGTGGATGTGCCTTGACGCAGGCAGCCCATCTGTCCTCGGTGATCTGCAAGGCTGCCTTTGTCGGTGACCTCCATGGCCAAATACGCACGGTGCTTTTTCTGGGTTCTCTGTTTCGCCCCGTTGGCTCACCTCTCCTTGGGCCAACGCCACACTCCGGGAAATGCTGTACCTTTACAGTGGATCTGGGAGAGCAGAAAGCTTCTTCCACTGCGATGCGCACACACCCGGTAGCCCGCTGTGGGGGCGTCTAGGGCACTCATCTACATGTACCTGGTGGAGACCACCGGTTTCTGTTCCAATAAAGGTGACAGTGACAGATGGAACTGGCTTGCCACAATGACATGGACAGACGGAATGCCTTGTGAAAGCCCACGTAGTCTGAGGAAGACTTCACGGACCTTGTGAAAAAGAGGGCACTGTCACCTCCTTGCAGGGGGGCAGCTCGCTCCAAGCCGAGCCCAGGGGATGGAGCCAAAACTAAAATCCCACAATACCCGCTCTGCCTCTGGCGCTGCATCAACAAGCCGGGGGTGGGGTCACTCCCACCGCGAGCTCACAGAACTCACGCAGTTTCCCCCTGGGGTCAATCCAGGCGAGGTCGAGGTCTCTGCACACTCCCGGTCAGAGGCAGGCAGCGGCTGCTGTCCCTTATAGCTTCAGACTTTAAACCTCCCTTCCCACACCAAACGTCCAGCACTTGGGACTCCCTGGGCGGGAGGAAGTTGTGACCGGACAGAAGCTGGGTGTCTGGGGAAGACGCAGGAGGGTGCACTCGGGGCTGAGAGACAGCAGCTTGTGGGGAGGGTACCAGCTGGAACCTCCCAGCTGCTCGAGGTGACCCCAAGGGTCCAAAGTTCTTGCCAACGGCTTGGACAAAGGACTTTTAAGCTTCAGATGTTTGGAAAACCACAAAGAGAGCTGGGAGACGGGCGTCGTGTGTTTGCACCTGACTGTCCCTGTCTCTTACCCCTCTGTAAGGATATCCTCGGGAGAGAGAAGAGTCGGAGTTGTATCTGCTTCTACGAGTTCCACGAGATACGTGCTTCAGTATTTCGGCCCCTTGAATTTTACGTTCTCGGAGAGGCCGTGAGCGGCAGGGGCGTGCCCAGGCCTAAGAGGTCTGGTTCAATGCTCAACCCCGCCGATCCGTCCCCGTGGGCAGCTCTGTGGGGCCTCCCTGCCCCACGGACACAGTGGAACAAGACACCCACCGGCAAGGTTCCCGGAGAGATGAACCGAGGTCGCGTGTGGCAGAGAAGACACGCCATCTGGAGGGACGGTCCACCCCTCTGTGACGTCTCCTGCCATGCGAAGGGCCACCTATCCATCCCTCCTCTGCCCCCTTTACATTTTTTCCTAGATTTACTAAAATAGGATTTATGTTCCCTAAACGTCACCCGTGATAAGTACACTAAGCTCGATGATATTTAGTAAATTACAGAGTTGTGCAACCGTCACCACAGCCCTACTTCTAGAACTCTCCGTCACCTCAAAAACTTCCCCCGGCCTCATCTGCAACGGAGCCCTCCTCCCAGCGCCCCAGGCCCAGGAAACCACTGGTCTGCTTTCTGTTTCTATAAATCTGCCTTTTCTGCACATTTCACATAAATGAAATCATACGTTATGCCGTCTTTTTCATCTGGCTTTTTTTTCCACTGAGCATCATGTTTCTTGAAACTCATCCACATGGCAACATTTATCATTATTGCACTGCGTTTTATTGCAGAATAATATTCTATTCTATGGTCATTCTGCATTTTATCTGTTTACCCAATGAGGAACATTTGGATTGCTTCCGACTGTGGGCTGTTATGAAGTGAAATAATGATGTGCTGTGCTGCGAACATTTGCATCCAAGCCTTTGTGTGGATGTTAGTTTTTAATTCTCTTGAGCATATACTTGGGAGCGGCCATATGATACATTTCACTTCCAAAGACACTGCCCAGATGTGTTCCGAAGTGGCCTCCCAGCCCACGTTCCCAGCTTGGCGAAGGGTCCAGTCCCCCCATGTCCTCAGTAACTCTTGGTCCTCTCTGACTTGTGATGATGGCCAGTCTAGTGGCTGTGTGGGTATCACATTATGGTTTTATATTGCACTGCACTAGTAATTAATGATTAATGATTAATGATGCTGAGCCCTTTTTCATGAGCTTATTGACTGACTATTGTCTACCTTCCTTCTATTCAAATCTTTTGTCTGGTTTTAAGCTGGGTTGTCTTTTTATTACTGTGTTTCAAGAGTTCTTTATGTAGTCCAGCCCTGGCTGGTGTAGCTCAGTGGATTGAGCGCGGGCTGCGAACCAAAGCATCACAGGCTCGATTCCCAGTCAGGGTACATGCCTGGGTTGCAGGCCATGACTCCCAGCAACCGCACATTGGTGTTTCTCTCTCTCTCTCTCTTTCTCCCTCTCTTCCCTCTCTAAAAATAAAATCTTAAAAAAAAAAAAAGAGTTCTTTATGTAGTCTCAATACAAATCCCTTCTCAGAGATATGAATCACGAATATTTTCTCCTCATGTGTGACACAGCTTTTCATTTTCTTCGTGGTATCAACTCACAGAAGTGTGTCAGTGTAATGAAGTCAAATTTACCAACTTTGGTCTTGTGGTGTCCTAACTGAGAACTCTTTGCCTACACTAAGGTCACGAAGACTTTCTCCTACGTTTTCTTCTAGCAGTTCTGTAGTTTCTGCTCTTACGTTTAGGTCCGTGATCCCCTGTGAGTTGGTGTTCTGGGCACGATAGGCCCAACGTATTTTCTGCATGCGGATGTCATGTTAACCCACACCGTTAGCTGAAAAGATGATTCGTTCCTGTTGAATTTCTTGGTGCCTTTGCTGAAAATCAGCTGCCTGTAAACCCATCAGACTTTGCTCCTAGACTCTCAGTTCTGTCCCGCGGACCTGGGTGCCAATCCTTGTAACAGCCCCACGCCGTCCGGGCTCCCACAGCCGTGCAGGGAGTTTTAAAAACCGGCAGCACAAGCCCTCTGATCTCATTCTTCTTTTTCAAGGCTGGTTTGGCTATGTTGGGTTCTGTGCATTTCCCCAGACACTTTAGGGTCATCCTGTTAACTTCTTCTTCTTCTTTTTTTTTAAAGATTTTATTTATTTATTTTCAGAGTGGGAAGGGAAGGAGATAGACAGAAACATCAATGTGCAGTTGCTGGGGGTTATAGCCTGCAACCCAGGCATGTGCCCTGGCTGGGAATCGAACCTGCGACACTTTGGTTCGCAGCCTGCGCTCAATCCACTGAGCTACGCCAGCCAGGGCTGGATCATCCTGTTAACTTCTAAAAAACAAAAAGCCCACTGGGATCTGGACAGAGATCGCACTGACTCTGTAGATCAACCCGGGGGACACCGCCACTTTACCGCTGCTGAGCCTCCCCTCCCCTCCCATAGACGCGGAATGTCTCTCCGTTACAGCGGAGCTTCTGCAGTTGCACTCGGCGGTGTCTGCGATGTCAGTGCACAAACCTCGGGCTTCTTTTCCTCCTGCACCCCTGAGTGGTTCATGCTTTCCGGTGCTACTGGGAGTAGAATTATTTTCTTAATTTCACTTCTGGGCTGTCGGGTTCATGGGGATGAATAGCATCGAACGTATGTCTAAATGCGTGTAGAGACACACAATGGACTTCTGTGTGCCCATCTTGTATCAAATGATCTTGCTATGCTCGTTATGAGTTCTGACAGGTTTCCGGTGGGTCCCTTTCGGTTTTCCACAATAGAATCAGGTCATCTGTGAATCATGGCATTTTTACTTCTTCCTCTCCAACCTGTATGCCTTCTCTTTCTTTCTTTCTTTTTTTTTTTGCCTGCCCACCCCGGCTAGAACTTCAAAATAGAACAGAAGTGACAAGAGCAAATGTACTTGCTTTGTTCCTGGTCTCCGGGGAGAGAGATCATCAGCTGCTCCATTTTTAAGGCATTTCTTGCTCTTCCTACCCTTTCCCCATCACCGTGGCTAATGACTTTAATTTAGAGAAGTAAATACTAAAGATAAGGGAAGCTAAACTAAAAAACATAAAGAATATGCTCTTTCCCAACCACGGTCTCAATTCAAACAAAATGTAACCAAAAGCAGGCCCCTTGTATTTTAAAACATTCAAGAGATTGGACACCGGCTGCCCTGTGTGCACTTCTGGACCGGTCACGCGCAGTGGGACACTACCCAGCCAGTAAAGGGAGGCGCAAGAAGGTGTTTTAACAGCGTGGGAAAGCCTCACATTATAACACGAAAGAGAGCAACAAAAATAACACAGATGGGATGGTCCCGATGCCATAAAGAAACGCACATAGGAGAGAGAGGAAAGAAAGTATGTGAAAACTCTAAAAACTCTCCATCATTGTTGCCTCTGAGTTGAAAGATCATGGATGATTGTTTTTTCTAATTTCTTTACGTTTGTTTCAACTGAACAGCTTTTCACAGCGAGCCTCCGACAGCCAGGGAAGGAGAAGGGGAGGGACCCCGCCCACGGGGCAGACACAGGCCGCCGTCGCACACACGTACCTTGCAGTACTCGTCGATGGGGATCAGGCGCTTGACGGCCACGTCCCGGATGTGGCTCCGCCGGAAGAGAATCTTGCCTGGACGAGAGAACACACGGCATCGTCAGCGGGCAGCAACCAGCTCTCAGCCAACGGCAGGGTGCGCTGTGGGCGTCTCTGGGAGGCCTAAGTGGGACCCAAACTCTGGGCTGTCATCAGTATCCCCTGTGGGACCTGCCCGGGGCCTGGGGGACCCCCTGCTTGGTCCTCCAGAGCCCTGGTCACAGCTCTAGTGCAAAGGCTGGAGGAAGTGGGGCCCGGTGGGTAAGTTATGATGAGTTAGAGGAGGCAGGCACCCCTACTCCCGCCTGGCGCTCTGAGGTCCGCCGTCCACCTCCAGGGTTCTCACGCTGCCCGGTAGGTGCAGCGAACACTCAGACATGCCCCAACCTCACGGTTCGGTTTCCGTTCCTCGTCCACCTTCTTTCCGCTCTAGACTTAAGTTCCCCGGCACGTCCCACGATTCTGTGCCTTTCCCTCTGCCCAGGATACTGAACCTCACCCACCGTCCCTGTTGGGAAACTCGTACCCACTGCACATGGCTAAGAGTTGCTGCCCCTTCCTGACTGTGCACATCTCCTTACCCCTTTACCGGGGTTCCCACCAGTCATGGGGCCCGACTAGAGCTCCGACAGGGCTGTGCCCTCACCATGGGGCACTAACATCTGATCGATGCAGGGAGGTGGCTTCCACACGCAAAGACGACAGACCCCTCGGAGGTCTTCCTTGACTGGTGTTTGCAGCAGAAGGATCCCGAGCCTCCCTCCCTCCCTCACTGCACGCCGAGGGTCCACCCACTATGTCCCCGGTGCCATCCTGGTGCCGCCCTGGGGTGAGGAGCCGCAGCCTCCAGAGCAACCTGCAGGTCGAGGAAGCGGGTCACAGGCAAACACAAGTACGTAAATGATGCCCCCCAGAGCCCCTGGAAATACCCAAGACACTGCAATGTTATGGGCGAGGGTTGTTTAAAGCAAGTCTGTGGGTTCCCAGGAGTCCCGTCAGGAGAGGGCAGCCAAGTGCGTGCGCCAGGCTAGCCTGGGCTCCGGGTTCTGAATGTGCCACCCACGGGCAGGGACAGGGAAAACCAGAAAAAAGACATCACGGAAGGCCACAGAGGTGGGAGACAGAGATGAGCCCCTCTGCCATGCTTAGGGAGATCCTCCGGCGGGTGGGGCAGGGTCTAGGGGTGAAAGGCTCAGGGAGACCACAGCTGTCCAGACGGCACAGCGCGGACACCCGCAGGAAGCTTCACCGACCCTGGTCTGAGGTCGAGGGGCGGAGTCTGGGTCCCGAGGCTGGCGGGGCGAGGAGCCATGAAGCACTCACTGTTCTAAGACCAGGCCTGGGCGAGCGGGAACAGGATGCCAGGGCAGGATCGAAAGGGGTGCCGGGAAAAAGCCGATTGATTTGGAAGGATTTGCAATGCAAGCTGGCAAGGAAGATTCGAAGCCAAAAGGACCATTTAGCTAATTCAACATTTAAAATAATCAAACATCTTGCTTCTGGGTGAAAAAGCACCATCAGGAAATTAGGTAGCTAGGGTCATCATAAGCAAAACTTTTTTTGCTCACGTTCACCAGCTAAGTCACCGTGAGGTAAAACACGAATTCCTCAAACTCCTTAATAACTAGGAATCTCCTTTCTGGATGATGGTGACAGGTTTGGTTCTGCTTAGGAGTCGATCAAATTCCTGATGCACCATGATTAGAAAAGAAAAATCTAGAAGAAAGTGCCTCCCCGAGTTCAGAGTGTTTGTCTCTGAGGAGTGGAAGAAAGAGACTTTTGTTTTCTCCTTTACACTTCTGCCAAAGTTCCTACCAGAAACATTTAAGGCTTCTAGAATCAGAAAATGTCCATGTCATTCAGAACAACAACAAAAAAAAAGGCAAAGAATGCAGCCAAGGGGGAAGGGGCTTGTAGGCTGGCTTTCCTGGAACGGTGCCCCTCACCCACATGGTGGGCACAGGCTCTACGAGGACCCTCAGGGTGCCCGCACTGGGGGCCTGCCCCCGGGCACTGACGGAGGGTGCTCCCCAGCAGGCAGGGGCCCTGCTGGCGCTTTGGGTGAGGCTGTCCTCCCCCCGAGGGGGAGCGCCCCGACCTTGCAGGATGTTTGGTATCCCGGGCACAAAGCCAGAGAGGGCTGGTGGCCCTCTCACCCCCTCCCCCTCCCACCCCCAGTCTCCGTGAGAAACAACTCACCACCATCGTGGGTGGGAATCAGAACCCTTAGCCTCGTCCCGTACCGAGCCCTCGGCAAGGCCAATGCTTCCCGCCCTCTAAGCTCCTTCTCAGAACAGGAGAGGAGTCCCTGCCAAAGCCGTTTGGTCCCATTTGGGTATAATTTCCCCTTCTGTGAGCTGCAGGGAGGGTGCAGAGTGGGGGGCACGGGCTTCTTCCCGAGAAGGGGTGAGCCGGCTCGACGGGCATGGTGCCGGCAGCGCTGGCGCCCCTCCTGCCCTGCCCCCCACCAGCGAGGCCGGCCTGGGGCCACCACCATCAGAGGGGATTCACCCACCGCCTGGCCGGCAGGGGCTGAGAGAGACGGACAGAGAACTCAGGGGCCTTCAGTGTCCCCACAGGGTGTGACACAATGACAAAGGCATTGCTCCCCTCCCTGCGCAGCCTCAGTGGGACAGGAGTCTCTGGGCACGTGTCAGGTGTCCTGCCGCCAGAGGCCGGGCCTCCCCATCCACCACGTGGGCGCGCAGCCCCTTCTCCCTGTGGGCATCCCCGTCACACACCGCGCGCAGGGCCCAGGCCCTCACAGACGGGCCATGTCCTTCTGTTTTGCTCCCACCGTTTAGAAGAGGCTGCACTGCACTCTGCACTGAAGAGCGTGTCTGAGCCCCCAGCTTCGTTTCCTAAGACCTGCCTCCTGCCGGCCGATTCGCCATTCGCCCTCCGCGGAGCTGGAGTCACTGCTCGGGCGGGCCGGGCCGAGTGGCCCTCGGGTCTGCACCTGATGGGACGTGTTTCCGCGTGAGCCGTGGGGAAGAGGGCGGGCGAGCCTGCACCCATCCCTGGCCGGCCGGCCGGCTGGCCGGGCCAGCCTGCCTGGGGCGGAAAGGGTGTGCAGTGTGGAGAACAGCCTTCGGTGGGAACGAGCAGGCTTTTGTTTTCCACAGTGGAGGAAGGCCAAACTGTAATTTTTAATTTTCGAGCTGCGTCCTCTTGCCAAGTTGGCCTCCCCGGCTCTTGCCGGGGTGGAAAATTGCAGAGGGCGGCTCTCCCCTCCCCCCGCCTTTGTGCTCACATGAGACCTGCTTTTGTTCCGAGGACGTGGCAGGCTTGGCAGAAAAGTGACCCCTAGGAGAGGGGACTTTGTCCCGTGGGCCCTTGACCTTGGCCTAGGCTTCGAGGAAAAGCGAGAAGTGGCCCGGGAAGGGATGCTCCTGGAGTCCTGAGGCCCAGCGGGACCTCTCTAAGCGACAGTGGGTGTCCTGACTAGGGATGTCGGCCAAGCCCCTGAGAACGGCATTTTCACGAGTTCGTGGGTGGAAAGGAATTACGTAACCACGAAAGCTTTCAGGGGCTTGGGAGAGGGTCGGCTCAAGTTCCTCCCCGTCCTGGGAAGTTTCTCCAGAGCTGGTTTTGCCTCTCATCCAGGAAAGACTTATAACTCACTGCTTTCCTCTCCCTCCTTGGAGAAAATCTTCCATTTAGAGCCCAGCTCAACGTGAACATTCAGACTGACCACCGAAGTCCGACTCCACGATATGAAATTCCAAGCAATGCCAGAGGAATGTCGCTGGACCCTGTTTCTGCCTTTACGGAGAACCTACTATGTGTCTGGGAGAGAAGCCCATGAAGCAGGGACCACGTCCCATTTGATAGACGTGGAAACTGAGGCTCAGTGGGGGCGGGAGGGGGCGGGGTGGAGGTCACAGGGCCGGTCTGTTTGACTCCAAAGCACGTGCTTGGAGCACTGACATTTGGCTGTTGCAGTTGGCACTCCCGGGTGTCTCCAGGAGGGAAAAAAAATTCCAGTGCGATTGCACACTTTCCCAGTGGAAGAACTGAAAACATTGGCTCTTTGAGGCAAATGACCCTCCCAGTGTGGATGGGCGTCTGGCAGACACACCTTCCCCGTCCCTCAACCCAACCCTGGAGTTGGGGGTGGGGGAGCCTGGCTCCTGTGTGACCTGGGGCGTCTCCCCCACTGCTCGCTGGGCCTGCTCCCACTTCTGCAAAATGCAAAGATCCGAAGGGCCCTTCCAGCTTGACGTGCTTGTGATTTAGGGCGCCTGCCGCCTGGCTGAGGATGCGTGCGTAAAAGCAACAGGAAGGGCTTGCCTGCCACCAGCTCTGCGCCCAGGCGCTTACCGGCCCGGCCACAATGCTGCTATTTATGCGCCAGCGTGAACTCCAAGTTGCAAATGAAGAAATGAAACTCGGGGCGCCGAAGCAGTGCCCCAGAGGCACCAGAGCGCACGAGGAGAGCGCTGGGGTTGGAACCCAGGCCACGTGACTTCGGGCACAAATTTTGGAGCCGGGCTTTACCTGTGTTTGGATCCCAGCTCTGCCATTTGCGCGAGTGATTATAATTTCTCTGAGCCTCAGTGCCTGCAGCTGTGAAATGGGCACCTTGGTAACGCCTACCCCGCGAGGCTGTTCTGAGGACGAAGCAAAGGAATGAACGCATCGTCCTTAGCCCGGTGACGGGCACACAGTACACAGGCACCCAGTCAGCGGTCGCTATGGAGACAGCAACACTGGTTCGGGTAGCCTGGTTTCTGAGCTGAGGCCCGATGCTATGCCTTTGGCAAGGGATTTTTGGGGGAAAGGGACAGGAATGCCTCAAGAGCAAGGCCCCTTGTCACATCTACTGCTCCACGGCGCCCGGAGAGGTGCGTGGTACCCAGGAGGTCCGAGGTAGGTAGGCCGGTGGAATTTCTACAATGTCCCCCGGCCCCACAAAGATGTCCCACCCGAATCCCCAGAGCCCATGCCTGCGAGGGGATGTCACAGCCGTGGTCCTGTCACGTTGCGTGCCACGGCTCCCTTTCAGAGAGGAAGACCCTCCTGCATTAGCCAGGTGGGCACAACGTAACCACAGGCGCCCTTCAAAGCAGACAGCTTCCTCCAATGGCTCACAGGAGGGGCCGTCGCAGACATCGAAAGCACAGGAAGGATTCGCTGCCTTGCTGCCGGTCGGGGGGAGGCGGGATGCAGGCAGCCCGTGGAAGCCCTGGCTGGCGGCGGAGCGAGGAAACAGGCTGCGGGCATCTCGGTTCCAGAGCTGCATGTCACCGGATTCCTCCCCAGATCCTCCACCTAGGAGCCCAGCCCAGCCAAGGCCTTGATCTTGGCCTTGTGAGACCCTAAACAGAGCCCCCCGCTGAGCCCACTGGGACTTCTGACCAAGAGAACTGTGAGGTAATAAACAGATGCTCTTTTAAGCAGCTAAATCGCTGGCAGTTTGTTACGCGGCGACAGAAAACTGACGCGGCAGCCATAATAGATGCCACTCATTACAAAACTTTATAAGTTTCGTTATTCCCATTTTAGAGGCAAGGGAAACTGAGGCCCAAGCTAGTAAATGCTGTAACATCTAACCCCACGGCATGTGCTCTTGGCCACTAAGACCCACAATGCCTGAGACCCTGGGCACGGGGACGGCGCCCCATGGAGACATCTCTGAGACGTCTCAGAGAGCCCGGCTCACCTACCGGGCAGAAAGGGGATGATCCGCTGTTTGGGGTCCTTCTGGCCGCCTTCCGTGGGGAACTTGTCCAACATCTGCATCTGTGAAGGGGGAGGACGAGAAAGAAATATGAATGCATCTCTGACATTCAAGGGAAGTATCTGAAGTATGCGACCCGATACACAAAAGCTCCCACTGTTCGGCTTTTCAGAAACCAGAACCGATGGGGACGATGACCTAAACGGGACCCAGGATCTCCATGACAATAACTCTTCAGGCCCCCGGCTGCCAGACTCGTGACGGCCCAGAGCGCTAGGAGAGACCATTCCAGGTTTCCCCAGGCGTCTCCCGCCCCAGGGTCTGAACGTGACAGCACCTGCAGGGCCACCAGAATTCCACGGGTGGCGGGTCACCCTGTTTCCTAAGAACTGCCAGGTGGTGCCAAGGCACAAACCACGGAGACCGGTCATTACACTCGCCTGCTCCACGAAGATTCCCCCACCCCGGGTTGGGGGGGAGGGTCGACAGGCAGCTCTGTGCCTGGCGCCACGCCGGCCCGTGGCACTCAGTGATGAAGGACTCCCCGTCTGCACAGGAGGCTGCAAAGGAAGTGGGCCACCACTACAGGTGTAAGAAGCGCCGTGAGAGGGAGGTGCGGGTGCTGTGGGGACAGAGGAGGAGCGGAAACGGAGCACCCCACTCGTGCAACAAACGCCTCTCCCACCTTTGAAGGGATGAATGGGAAATACCTGATTTGATGTACGAAACCACGGAGATGGGCTACTGGTGGTCTCGGGGAAGTGACATGCCCTGGGCCTCATCTTGGAGTCAGTCATCGTGATACCAGCTTGCGCGCAGGGTTACTTTACAGACTAAAGCCGGGCTGTGGCATCATTAACACTGCCATCCGATGTCCGGTCCTGTGCTTGCGCACGTGGTAGATTTGAACCTCTCCGCCCCCTGGAGGTAGGATGTGGTCAATCAAATGTGAGCGGAGGAGATTTGTGTCACTCGGGGTGGAGGAGTTATGAGTGGTTCGTGACTCTCCGTTTCCTTCTGCCATGGTGACTGGCCACATTCCAGACGGTGGCTTCTCTGACAGTGAGGGTCCAGAGCCCCCGACAACCTTTGATGGACAGGTAGCCCGAGTGAGAAATAAACCCTTGTTGTACAGCGAGGCTACCTGTCATGGTAGCACATCCTAACCCGTCCTGATTAGTGCGTGGGCCCAGGACTCAAGCAGAGAGAAAGCTACCCTGGCACTCAAGATGTGTCTCTCTGACAGAATGACGGAAGCTTCCAGTAGCCCAGGAGGAATAAGTACAGCTGCTGTGTAAGCATTTAGGGGGTAGGAGAAGATCTGAAGCAGATGAGAAGAAAACCATGTACGTGCACCAGGCATGGACTGGATTCTTTGCACACATGCGCCCACTAAATCTTCAGAATGCTCCTTCAAGGTGGACATTACTACCCAGGAAATCAAAGCCCAGAGAAGTGAAGGAATGTTCCGTGAGCCTGTGGCCAGCAGGAGGTGGGGCCAGACACTGAGGCCCACGTGCTCCTCCACCACCACGTCACGGAGAAGCACCCCCTCTGAGGGGCTGTGAAGACAGTTAAACAGGACTGCCCCTCAGCACTCAGGGAACAGGGCCATTGACCCCGGCCGGAGCTCTCTGCATCCTCCGTGCTGCCGTGTGACACCCCTGGGGCGGGGGGTCAGCCGCAGCTTGGCCAGCACCCTGAAGGGCTGCCCGCGGAGGCTGTGGTTTTATTTGTGCCGCGGGGCGATGGGGAAATGCTTGGTCTGTGTCATTCAGAAACTGGTGGGGCCGCAGCGGGCCTCGCTGGAAAGGCAGGCTTCCCTTTAGGAATCCAGGGACTCTCCAGCACTGGCACTCAGTACGAACGGACAAAAGCGATGAATGCAACTGACTGAGATTTTGGGGGCAGCAGCTTCCGGAGATGTTTGCCGAGTACCCCTGACTAATAATAATATTCATGTTACTAATCTCAAATAATAATGAGTAACCTCTACTAACATGAGTGGCAGTTGTCTATTCTCAAGCCTTCTCACACAGGTGATTTCGTCTGCCCTTCGTAAGACTACTGTGACATAAATGCACCGACCCCACGCCACAGATGGGGGCGCCGGGGAGCAGAGAGGGACAGTGCACTGCCTCAGGTCCCTGGGCCAGGTGGCCATCCAGCCAGTTTGAACACCTTCATCTAAATGCCATTCTCCTCCCCGAGGACCACTCTCTCAGGCAGTCTCGGAGGGTCACGTGAACGTGAAATACCAGCCCGCGATGGGGAAAGTTTAACATTCTGCGTGCCGGCACACAGCATGCTTTCTCTTCAAAAGCAGGGGGATGAGCCAGCCTCTGCTGTAGAGGGTTTTAAGGATTTACAGGTGTTGTCTAACGCTATCTTCTCTTTCCCTTCCCTCTTTTGTTTAAGACAATGTTGGAACACCATGAAAGGGAACTTAAAAAAAAAAAACAACGCATGCACCGACCGTTACAGCCACCCTACCAGGCCTGTGCCCACTCTCCTGGATGCCCAGGGGTCCATCTGAATGGGCACGCCCGCCCAGAGGCCCCGTCCAGCGCTGTAGCTCGGCCCCCCGCTCCACGGTCTTCACTGCTCTCGCACAGGAAGTGACTCTCACGCTTTGTCCTGACTTGCTTTTACCCAGAGAAGTGTGGCCCAAAGAGCAGAAGTGTTATTTATTAATTTGAGGCAAGCAGATGTGGGCTTACTGCTGCAAAGTCTAACCACAGATATTTTGCCCCCGGGGGCCAGACAGCCCCGAGCTTAATCCCCGCGCTTCCTCAGGCCAGCTGCACGTCCTTAGCCAGATACTGCGCCTGTCGGGTCTGATTCAGCATCTGCGTGATGAGGAGCACAGACCGCAGGGGGTTTGTGGGAAGGAATGCTGAGTGTGAACTCTTTGGGGGCATCGGGGGTGCTCAGGAAGACATCAACCATCCCTGCGCTCTGCCCGTCATGAGTATCTTCTTCTGAAAGTTATTTGGCCTGGTTGGTTGGTGTGGCTCATTGGATTGAGTCCCACTTTTCCCACCAAAGGGTTGAAGGTTCAATTCCCAGTCAGGGCACACGCCTGGGTTGCAGGCCAGGTCCCCAGTAGGGGGCGTGTGAGAGGCAACCACACATTGATGTTTCTCTCCGTCTTTCTCCCTCCCTTCCCCTCTCTCTAAAAATAAAACTAAATAAAATCTTTTTTTAAAAAAAGTTATCTGGGAATAATTTTTAGTAGTTTGTGAGGTGATGTGGGGTTTTTTGGTGTTAAGTATACATAACATAAAATTTATTATCTCAAGCATTTTAAGCCCACAATTAAGAGGCACTAAGAAGGTTCACACGGATGCCACCGCCCCCAGCATCCATCTCCAGAACCCGAGCCGAAACTCCACATCCATCAAACGCTAACTCCCTGGTCCCCTTCCCAGCCCAGGGTACTCGCTGTTCTACTTTCTGACTCTATAAACCTGACCATTCTCGGTATCGCACGTAAGGGGAACCATTCAGCACTTGTTCTTTGTGGCTGGCTCATTGCACCTAGCATGTCTTCTAGGTTCGTCCATGTTGCATCCTGTGTTGGAATTTCCTTCCTTGTCAAGGCTGAGCGATATTCCCTTATGAGGCTGTGTGTGTGTGTGTGTGTGTGTTTGTGTTTAAAAAAATATTTTATTTATTTTTAGACAGCGGGGAAAGGAGGGAGAAAGAGAGGGAGAGAAACATCCAACATGTGAGAGATACATTCATCAGTTGCCTCTCGCACGCCTCCAACTGGGAGCCTGGCCTGCAACCCAGGCATGTGCCCTGACTGAGAACTGGACTAGTGACCTTTTGGTTCACAGGCCGGCACTCAATCCCCGGAGCCACACCGGCCCGGGCTACGAGGCTGTGTTCTAAGGTTGGCAAAGCCCAGCCTATCCACGGCCCTTCGGTGGCCAGAACTAGGCTGTCCAATGGGACTTCCTGCCACTATGGCGATGCTCCGGATCTTGCCGTCCCCGACGGTGGCCGCTGGCCCTAGGCGGCTCCACTAAGCACTGGAGATGAGGCACCCGTGACTGAGAATCTCAACTTTTAATTTTATTTAATTTTAACTAACCTAAGTTACGTTTAAACCACCTCACGTGGCTAGTGTTGACCCCACCAAACAGGCCGGGGCTGGACTACAATACTCATCCCCCACTTCAGCCCATACCCAGTCTTCCTTCATGTCCTTTAGCATCCTACTGGTCCCTGCTGTTCGCAGGGACTGGCAATCAGGGGCCTGGGAGCTGTTTTGCTTTTGGCGTTAGTGTGTCGGCATTCACAGGCCCCACGCAGCTTCTTTCCCGGGGAACGGTCCCACTCGGCTGCCCCTGACTTTGAAGCACACCAGGCAGCATTCCAGACCCTCCACGGGGACCCCAGACCCAGGCTGCCTGCAGCAGCGGGACCAGAGGCACGCCCAGCGAGGTCCAACCATAGATGGGATCCTTGGAAACCAGAAAAACCCCACCCCTCCCCATCCCCCATAGTAAAAGGAAGTCGTGCTCAGGGTGAGGACTAGCAACCAGGGAGGAAAGTGAGTCAGTCTGGAGGGGGAGGGAGGGGAGGGAGCCACGTCAGACGGCCACATCACAAGCCTCCAGCCGGCATGAGAGAACACTCCCTCAGCAGTTTTCAGGACCCCGGCTTGTGGTGGAGGGAAGGAGACTCGCTGTCCAAGGAAAACACCGTGCAGGCTGACGTGGAAGCCCACACGTGGTCCGTGTTAGCGGCAGGCTGGACTGGGAGGGGTTGGCTCCCCCGTCTCACCCGCGCCCCGTGTCCCAGAATAGCCGGAGCAGGCTGTGGAGAAGGGCCGGGGTGACTGTCTCATGCAACTGCTGACGGTCGGGAAACCACGTGGTCCCCAGGACAGGACGTGATAATTCACCTGGGCCTGCTCCACCGTGTGTGGTGGGTTGTGTCCAGGGATTCTGTCCCCTGATGAGCTGGTCTAAATGTCGGGGTGCCCTGGTGTCCTGGTGGACATGCCACACAAAGCCTGCACCCCGGCAGCCTGTCCCCTTCTCTCACCCCT